GTCCAGTTTTGTTTCCTTGCAGGAGAGGAGTTGTGATCCTTTGCAGGAAAAGAGACATTCTGGATTTTGGAATTTTCAGCCTTTTTGTGCTGTCTTTTCCTCATCTGCGTGGATTTATCTACCTTTGGTATTTGATGTTGGTGACCTTCGGATGGGGTTTCTGTGTGGACGTCCTTTTTGTTGATATTGATGCTTTTCCTTTCTGTTTGTTGGTTTTCCTTCTAACAGTGAGGCCCCTCAGCTGCAGGTCTGCTGCAGTTTGGTGGAGATCCACTCCAGACCCTGTTTGCCTGGGTATCGCCAGAGGAGGAGGCTCTAGAATAGCAAAGATTGCTGCCTGTTCCTTTCTCTGGAAGCTTCATCCCAGAGGGGCACCACCAGATGCCAGCTGCGGCTTTCCTGTATGAGGTGTCTGTAGACCCCTGCTGGAAGGTGTCTCCCATTCAGGAGGCATAGGGGGTCAGGGACCCATTTGAGGAGGCAGTCTGTCCCTTAGCAGAACTTGAGCACTGTGCTGGGAGATCCGCTGCTCTCTTCAGAGCCGGCAGGCGGGAATGTTTAAGTCTGCTGAAGCTGTGAAACAGCTGCCCCTTCCCCCAGGTGCTCTGTCCGAGGGAGATGGGAGTTTTATCTGTAAGCCCCTGACTGGAGCTGCTACCGTTCTTTCAGAGATGCCCTGCCTAAAGAGGAGGAATCTAGAGAGGCAGTCTGGCTACAGAGGCTTTGCTGAACTGCAGTGGGCTCTGCCCAGTTTGAACTTCCCAGCAGCTTTGTTTACACTGTGAGGGAAAAACCACTTCCTCAAGCCTCAGTAATGGTGGACGCCCCTCCTCCCACCAAGCTGGAGTGTCCCAGGTCAACTTCAGACTGCTGTGCTGGCAGCAAGAATTTCAAGCCAGTGGATCTTAGCTTGCTGGGCTCTATGGGGGTGGGATCCGCTGAGTAGATGACTTGGCTCCCTGGCTTCAGCCCTCTTTCCAGGGAAATGAACAGTTCTGTCTCATTGGCATTCCAGGCACCAATAGGGTATAAGAAAAAACTCCTGTAGCTAGCTTGGTGTCTGCCCAAACGGCCGCCCAGTTTTGTGCTTGAAACCCAGGGCCCTGGTGGTGTAGGCACCTGAGAGAATCTCCTGGTCTGAGGGTTGCAAAGACCATGGAAAAAGCGTAGTATATGGGCCTGAGTGCACTATCCCTCACGGCATGATCCCTAGTGGCTTCCCTTGGCTGGGGAGGGAGTTCCCCCACCCCTTGAGCTTCCCTGGTGAGGTGACGCCCCACGCTTCTTTGGCCCGCCCTCTGTGGGCTGCACCCACTGTCTAACTAGTCTCAATGAGATGAGCTGGGAACTTCAGTTGGAAATGCAGAAATCATCCCCCTTCTGCACTGATCTCGCTGAGAAATGCAGACCGGAGCTGTTTCTATTTGGCCATCTTGCCAGCCACCAAGCTACTTATTTTACACAGTGGGCAGATTAGCAAAAATAATGGCCTGAAAATGAAACTCTTTGTCATGAATATGGAGTGTGTAATTGGTGATGGTCTGTGATGGTTGGTGGCACTGAGTCTTACAGTCCATTCCCTTTTGAGGTAATTAACTTATTTAGCCAGATATGGCTCCCTTTATCTTTGTCATTTTAGAAGTAGGGCACTGGTGACCATAGTGTGACTGGCTAAGGGCAATTTGCTACTGTCCTTAGAAAAAGGAATAACTTAAATCCCATTTATGAGATATGTAGAATGAATATGTCAACCTTCATATATCAGCTTCGATGACACTTGAGAAAAAACATAAGATGGGAAGGAGAATAATCATCACAGATAATTTACCTTCCTTCCGTATTGTGAAACATCAATAGTGAAATCTCAAATTGGTCACATGCACATACAATTAATGTTTGAAACACTTTGCATCTTTGAGAAAAAAGTTTTATCTTCAGATCCTTTGTTGCTGATTACACAACAAAACTAAAGAAAATAAGGTTTTGAGTCCCTGTTGATAACTTCTCAGCTAAGATACAGTTCGTTAAACAATGTTTCCTTTATGATGAACTAAGGCAATTGATTCAGTGACACCAAGAGGCTTGTTTTAGCAATTCAGGATAAGCTAATATCAGCAGGGAAAGGAAGCATGTGAAAATCACCTTTAGTATTTTATGGTTCTATGTTCAGCACAACAAAGGGAAACTAGTGTAATGATTGATGTAGCTCAGTGATTCCCAAACTTGGTTAATTATGAATATCATTTGGCAGCACTTACTAGAAGTATCGATACAAGCTCTTTCACTGGAGAATTTGGTCCAGGTGAATCCTGTTAATACTTGAGATAATCTGATATACATCATATGTAGTTACTAAAGAACAAATTAAACATAAGGTATAGGATACATCCCCTTGGCTATTGATTCTTATGCCAAATGGCTAAGATTAGAAGACTGCATCTAACTTTGACTAATGAGTCAATAAGGGAATTATCATAGCACTATAAATCACAGACCTTCAAAGAATGTGTTACAAAATAAATGATAAAAGAGATATTGGAAGACAACCATAAAAATTGATCAATAAACCTTGGGATAAAGTCCAGACATCTGATTATTTAAATAAAGATATATTTAAAAAATTAATATAGCTGTTTCATTTAATGGAAACTTCTCTGGAGCCTATATACAAAAGTAAGAAAGTGTATGACCCTGGCAAATGTGAAACAGGATTATCAAAGCAGGGCTAGGTATTGTCTCTAACTTGGCATTGATTTCCATCTATTGACCAGTCCTGGTTGCTGCTCAGTGGAATGTTAAGTGAAAAAATAATGACCCTCTTTAAGCAAATAGAAGAGTAATTTATTATAATAGTAGTCCAATATGTTTTTATATATTGTAGAGAATAAACACATTTATTGTAGAGAACAAATACATTTTATATATTGTAGAGAATAAATAGAATAAACACAACACAGAAAAGGAAAGAGAATAACCTATAGTTATAGGCACATGACAGTAAAACTAATCAGTGAATCAATCAGCCCTACTGTGGGTTAGGCACTTGTATTAAATTCCAAGGGCACAATGGCAAACAAGACATGGTCCCGAATCTCAGGTATCAGTTACTTAGAGGGTCTTCTGGTATCTAATCTAGAACTGAGTAGACTTTTAAATGGATCATGAGTAAGAGTACAAAAATAGATGGTGCACAATTGTTTATACAAAGTCTTTTCCCCGTCAATGACATAAGTAACCCTGGTATTTTAATATAATGCTTTATGCATTTATTTGCTTCTTATAAGTATTAAGGAATTATGATTTAAAAATTGATTTGACTAATTAAATATAAAATTTATAAATGTAAAATCTGATTTAGTTAAGGTGGTCATCTTTTACAGATATGTACCTATGTAGTCAAATATTATTTCAAGATGAATCTTTTTATATTCAATAGATAATATGTATAATAAGTGGTTAATCAATGAAAAACATTATCCTTGACCTTATTTAGTCAATTTAGTTTTGTAAACAATTAGACATTTATTCGACTTAAGTAACTAAAAGTTATGACGGGACCAGCAACCACTTGGCTGTAAGAATGGTAAATGTGATCTTTAGTTTAGTGTAACTAGATAGGCTTCTACTGATGTTGCTTGTACAGCAATATACTTAGAAAATATCATTAAAAGATTACTTCCATGGGTAAAAAACCATTTCTCTATGAGAATGAATTATAACTTGCTAACAAGCAACATGCATATTCAGCCCTACAAAATATTTAAACACCAAACATTTTAGGAGAGTGGTTGAATTTTTAGAATACATTTTCAAGGCGTAATTAATAAGTACCAATTCTATTCTGTTTAGCTTTAGGAAAACAAGGTTATTTTCTTCCAGTGAAGTTTTCTAAACACAACAAAAGGTTACAATTTAAGCTAAATATCATGGACCATTTTTTTCCATCCTTGTGGAACTTATTTTTTGTAAATATAAAGATTCAATATTCAGGTGAGGACACATATTCTGGATACACAACTATTACAGATTTTCCAAGAGCGAATACATCATACAATAAACAGAACACAATACCTATAGGAAAGCAGCATAATTTCTCTTAATTCATCAATTTTATAAGTCTTCACAATCTTACAATGCATTCAGATCTTCATATGAAAATGAAATCAATGATATTGACACTGGACGAGCACAGAATGGTAGAAACTGGTTGCTCACATGACAGTGAAGGTAACTTTCAGTATTTCTGAATTTATTAATTTTCATTTAAGCAAACCTAATACTAATATCCCATCATTTTTTGATACACTGTTTACATGCTCATTAAAATTATAATAACATTTTTGGTATTTTTTATATGTACATTAAAATTAGAGCAGGAGCAAATGATCATGTGTGACACCATTGGGTGTCTAGAAGAGGTAAACTTTTCCAGCTAGAAATAGGTATTTGTTATCTATATAACTTCAAAGTCTAAGATATTTCCAGCCTGCCATTGGACTGTTTCATATGAAATATCTGACACCTGAGAGGAAAGTTCACCTGCCATTATTAGCAGTGCCAAATGAAGTCACTTGTCTGTGTAAATCTTGAGTAATGTGGCATGTTAGGGCTCAAGATCATAACCAGAGCTAATCATTAAACTATAGAAAGTTTAGCTGGCCTGCCACTGAAAGATTGAACCTAATCACTCTTTGAACTTCAGTCTGGAAAAGGCACATTATGACTGATTTCTTAAGAATTCTCTCTTTACAGGACAGGAAAAAAATGAAAATTTGAGTATGGTTTTAAAATATCCAAACTCTTCATGATCTTTCTGGCTAAGGCTTTGGCTTTATAGAATAAGTATAAATGTAATAACTTCTTGGTGACAAGAAACAAGAGGGAAAAAAAAGGCTCCTAAGAAAAATAGGTATTATTAATGTTAATGAATACAATAACTTGCTTACAAGCAATATGCATAATAAATTCTCATAAAGTAGATATTGAGTTTGAGAGTTCATTAGAAAACATGTCCTTTTTATTCTCTTCCAATAACCCCTAGAGACTTAAACAATAAGGAAAATATATTCTTACAAACAAGAGTATAGTAATACTGATTACTCATTGAAACTTCCATGCCTGAGAGATATTTACCAGACTTAAAGTTATGAGAAAACTTTAGCTATTGATTTACCACTTAAAGTAGCTTACATGTTTTAATACAACCTAGTTATTCTTAAAGGTAGAGTGGCTTGATCACTATAAAAACATCAATAATGAACATATTATGCACTAATACCTTGCAAAACTGTTTTAAAAAACAGGAAAAATAAATGTCAACTTCTTGTGCAAAAATCTGTAAAAGTTTAAGATGCCACTTTACAGAGGTCAAGCCGATGATCCATTAACGTTAATTAGGTTATGACTGCATTATTTTAAATACACGTATTGTTTTAAGACACTCCTTCACATGTCTGCGCGAACAAAAGAAGCAAATACTCCATCTTCCCGAGCCAAGAGGCTTTCTGGAGTGTCATATTCTAAAATATTTCCTCGCTTCATCACAATAACCAGGTCTGCCGTCAGAATAGTGTGTACTCGATGCTGTGAGTGGAAAGAATACACGTATTTGTTATACATTTCAGGGCACAAGCCAAAACAATGGAATATGTATATTTCACGAATTATTCTGGGACATTTGTTTATCTTGGTGAGTGACGAGATGTAGGGATCACAGACACCTCCCCTTTTGTCCTTATTTAAATTATCATTTATTTACATACTTTTAAGCAATGGCCAACATGGCTGGGTTTTCTATGGGTTGTACTAACTTGAGTGTAGCTAATATATCAGTGTCATCATTTCATGAAACCTTCAGTTTAAGTAGGATAAAAATGTTTATCAAGTAATTAAATTAAGAGAGGTCATTGTAAACCCATTGGGTTATAATGTCAACAATAATGATCTCTTGTGTAGAGTCACTAATTCTTTGGGCTATAACACAATTTGAAGAACCCTGGAAAGTGGTTCAGTTCCGGGATGACAATTTGGGGAAGTCCATTCTGGCATGCAGTAACAGAATGGATTATCCACGCCTTTAGACATGCAGTCTCAGTCTTTGGAGATCACTGCCACTGACCCACTCCTTCTCTCCAGATGATGCCTTTTGGATTAATTAGTAATTAACAACGACAAAAGCAACCACTTTCTGAGCATATGCCATACATTAAGTGCTCCACACACATTCTTGTGGATCATTAGAACATTCCTCAGCTGTGGGTGTTATCTCTCTCCACTTTATAGGGGAGACCATTCACAGAGATAAAGCAAAACCAGGGGATCACATAGATAATAAGTAGCAGAACCAGTGTGAAAATTAGGTTTACCAATTTCAAAATGTGAGATATTTCCATCCTGTCATCTAACTGTTTCATAAGGCTCTCTGATACCTTAGAGGAGCATTCACCTGCCATGTCAGTGTTATGGTTAAGAGAACAGGCTCTGAAGATAAATGGGCCTTGTGTATTTTGGCTTTACCACCTGTTAGTTGTGCAATCTTGAGCAATATACTTAACATTGTAGAGTTCCAGTTTCACATCTGTAAAATTACGGTAATAGTACCTGCCTCAGAGAAGGGTGATAAGGTTCAAATGAGATAATTCATGTAAAAAAATTCAGCACTTTGTCTGACGTATACAAACAAATAATAAATGTCAACTACTATTATTTTTTATGTTTATAAATTAGAAAGGAAAAATCTGTGTGCTGGGCTTTTACTCTTGCTAAGATCAGTATTGTTCAATAGAAATATAATGGGAGCCACAGGTAATTTTAAATTTTCTAGGAGCTACATTTTCAAAGTAGAAATAAACAAATGAAAGCAACTTCAATACATTTTAACCCAATCTATTCAGATGTTGTCATTTCAATATGTAACCAACATAAAAATGATTCATGAGAACTTTTACATGCTTCTATTAGTATTAAGTCTTTGAAATCCAGTATATATTTTACACTTATGACACTTCTCAGTTCGAACTATCTACATTTCAACTAATAGCCACATGTGGCCAGGGACTACCATACTGAACCTGAACTATGCAGGTCAAAATATTAGTGTGCTGATGGGAGTCCCTGTCCAGAGTTCTAAACCTAGAAATGCCATCTGTTTAGATGATACACAGCCTTCCAAAGTGCTTCTCTGAACAATCCAAAGTCCTACCTAAAACCATCCCCAGAGTTGAGAGCGTACATTCTGCCCTGGGCCATCTAGGTGGGGTGGGCTCAGTGTTTATGCTTTCAGAAAAGCCAGTAGTTATAGTTGTGGCTCATGACTTGAAGGAAAAGAAAACATATATGGAATGTGATAATGATGCCAGCTTAGAACATGTGCCAGTTTTCAACACCCATGACAAGCCTATCATTTGCTGAATATTGGTAACAAATGATGTATTAGGTTGGTGCAAAAGTAATCGTGGTCTGTACCATTACTTTTAATGTCAAAGACCACGATTACTTTTGCACCAACCTAATACACTGAGGAATTAACCAGATTTTGGAGGCTAACATTTATTTATCTTTGAGAAAGGACCAGAGCCATTTGCACACCCATGCGTTTAGAAAAAGACACTTAACAAGCTATCCAATAATTTCTGCTGTGCGTTTTCCCTCCAGAAAAATATTAGCTGTTCAATAGCCGTATCATAGATGTCTAAAAAAAGAATTTGGCCTCTAAACCCATAAATATAATATTATAAACATTGCATTGATATTCTAAAATAATATTTACTAGAAGAAAATAAAAATAAAAACATTGAAAAATCTTGACCAACAGAAATAAATATAGTTGGTTTTTATTCCTTAATTCAAATAATTATTCCCTGACAAAGTGATGTCAACTGTAATCGTGTTGATAAAATTTTCAAAATGTTCCAGATAAATTAATGGTGTAATCACTTTCAGAAATAAATACCATGGACTATTTTGGTGTGTGAGTGCTTCCTTTTAGAAGCTGGAGATAATTATCTTTTTAAGGCATTCCACAATTTTAGTGGTAGCTACCAAAGTAATAAGCTCTTAGGCAGGGAAGGAAAAACAGTAATTTTAAGAGTTTAAGTTAATTCTACAAGGAGTCTACCACAAGCATGGTGGTGCTCTCCCTTTTGTGGGCCTGTTATGAGGAGTTGGTCCTCTACAAAATCTTACAGTGATTCTTCCTTGACAGCTTCGTGTGTATTAGGGGCGGGTGGGAGCAGGGAATTCTAGGTATCCTAGCGGCCACCTTCACATGAGTGGTTTTGAAATGAAGAATGAGTGAAAGAAATATAAGTCTATAGAAAAGTATTTAGTGAATGTAGGAGAAATTAGGTAAGAGGTAACCTAATTAGGAAACTTAGCATTTTGTTAAAAATACAAATTTTGCTCAAGTAATCTTCCAGATATACACTAAACAGAACCATCCAACAATGCCATGCTTCATGCAGAGTAGGAAAAATTCATCTTTTGAATAGGCAATGGTCTGTTTTCTCTCCCTCTCTCCGTCTTGGGGCAGCAGGAAGTTATTTCTCTTCCAAAATATCTCCCTACCTTTTTCCAGTAAGGAAATTCTTGAAAATACTGAATAATTATTTTTAAAGTTAACCAATTCTACCCCTTAAATCATTCACACCTTAATATCAATGAGTTAATTGGATGACTCTCCTCCAGGAAAGAGGAACCACAAAATTCACTGGAAAACTTCGAGAAAGTAGATTTTTCTTTACTCAGGCAGTTTGCAGGAAGTAGGCCCTGATGCGACATCATTTCCTGCCATCCTGACAAAAGCTGCACTCCAAAGGGTTCTGTTTCTCCCATGCATCATCCAAGAAAGTAGAAGCATAGCAAGCACTCCATACACCACTCCCATTACTCATGAATGAAACTCAAGTAACTATTTAAATGAAACAATGCATTCTCCAGGGCAGGTAAGAAATGTGTATGGCATTTTTATGGATGCTTATAAAACATCCCTAAGGACTAGTGAAATTGGTCCTTAGAATAAGAGGTAAATTCAGTTCATAGGCTTCATAAATACTCTCTTTTGCATGTATATATTTGAAAACACATGCCTGAGCTCCATTCGGTACTGAGCATGACGAAAGCACTTGGTTGAGCTGATTTTGTAATAACACCCTGCAGTTAGTTCCCTCATCCCAGCCCTCCCCTTTATTCACAGCATTAGCCATGCCTTACTGAGGGGATACTGCTAAGATAACTACCGGAGAATGACAGACTTGGCGCAATAGATCATGATGGTCTACTTGTTGGTCATCACCAAAGTGGAAAAGAGGCCATTCTTGTGAGCGAGTAAATTTGGAGCAGTATCACACTCCACTAAAATACCCTCAGAAAAGACTAAAACAAGGCCTGCATCCAAAATAGAAGAGACACGGTGCTAGAGAGAAAAATAGAAGAGAAGAGAATCAGCAGAAGAATAAATGTCCAAGTGACTCATTAAAAAAAAATAGTTTTTATTAAGCAGTAAGACTAAGTATGAGCAAGAATCCACTTGCAAAGAGGAAAAGACAGAAAACTGTGGACTATTGTAAGTCAGCTATAATGTGAATTACAAATATTTAATCACTTCTTCTATTTAATTGGTGCTATCTAAAATAGAAAAAATTACCTGCCCCTATTGTGAGATATGTCTATTTTTTAATAGATTAATGAATGGAAACATAGAAATTAGGTATAGATAGTAGCAGAATAAGCAATCCAATTTAGGAATTTGCTTTCTGAAACTGCTCATCAGACCATCAGATTATAGAAAAGAGAATTATTCTATATGAACTACCATTTTATCTGGTAAACAAGCAGAGGCCATGACCTGCTGGAATCCTTAGATTTAGGATGTCCTATCATTGTCACTTAAGGAAGTCAGTTAGGTAGAGCAGACAGTTTGGGAAAGAACAATGCTTTCAAAACATCTTCGTTTTTTTTTTTTTTTTTAACAGATACAGAAACATTAGCAGAGAAATACATAATTCGACACAGTATATTTTGCTAAAACGTAAAGATGATAACATGTTAGAACCAAAACCAAAGAGGCGTACCAACTCTGTCTTCTCATACTTACAGCTATTGTCACCACGGTCCGGTCTGCAAAAGCTGTCATTACTACTTTTTGCAAAATATTCTCCTGCAAAAAAAAAAATAAATAAATAAATAAATAAAGTGTAAATTTTCTCTGGATGACTTTGTCATCATAATATTTTACCCCAAGGACAATATTCCACTGAATCCCTTGTGAGCATTCTCAATCCCTCATTTTCTGTGGAAGTCATAAAAACGGGCAGTCCCCAGCAGCAGGTTCATGCTGGATTCTGTACGTGTCTTCAAAACACAAATGAAAGTCAGTCACTGATCAGCCGGAAGTGGGTAATAGATTTATGTCCAGGAAATGCAAAAAAGAAAATGAAATTAAATGGGTATCAAAATGCTCCCTTGAGTTATACCACAGAAAGTATGTATTCGAAACCAGCAAAATTCTATAATGATGTTAAGCTTTGAGTCAGAAAAGGGAAAAACTAAAATTGATGCCACAAATTTGGACTTTGACACATAAGTGAACATTCTTGGAAGAAACTCTTTTTATCCCCACCACAAAGCACTGTTATAATTATATTTTAAAGACTGTTCTGGGTACAGATTCCATCTCTGTCCTAGAGGAAATCTTGGTTCAATGTTTAGAGTGAAGGAATTCTTTCAATCATTTAATTCACAGTCTCTTTTCTGTTGAGGCAGTATTACCCTTACGATAACCTTCAATGTGTCCTTTCTGATGTCAAATTTTAATACCAAGTTAACTTTCAAAAGAACATTAATTGCTAGCTCATATGCAGTTTGTGATTTAATGTAACATTTTACCTACTCAATCACAGCCTTCTGGACAGATCTTTCTTGGATACATTTGACAATTTCAAATAATATATTTCAAAAGGCAAAATTTATGGCTTTTTACCATAAACACATAGAGAAGGCCGTTATTAATTCTAGCCATTATTAATCCCAGTGAATCGCTCTTCTTCAAATTGGTTTAGGAAATAATGAGTGGTGTTGGTTATCAATAGATTCTATTAAACAGAGATTTTCACACTGCATTTCAGAACTTTTACGGCATAGTACTTGAATATAGTACAGTATCTCTCATCAACTAAGCCCTGGAAATTTACTGTTCTGAAAAATTTTCAAAAAGTTGTGGCAAATTTATTTTATGTTTATTGGTAATAGGAATGCCTTTAAACCATATGTCAGGTCCTATTTATTGTAATTCTCAATGTGCTATCATCAGTTCATCAAGGAGATGATTGAGCAGATTCTCAAAACAATAGTACTGAGGATTCAGAACCCATTCAGGAAATAATAAATTGTAATTTTCATGCACATTTCTCTAATTCGTCAATTTTAAAAGCTTAGATAATGCACTCACTGTGGCCATGTCAATGGAAGCTGTTGCCTCATCCATAATAAGAATGCTGCTTTTGCGGACAAAGGCCCTGGCAAGGCAAAATAGCTGTCTCTGTCCAACACTAAAATTCTCCCCACCTTCAGTGACAACCGCATCTAAATCAGAGAAAGAAGCAAGGATTTCACTAAAGAAATGCTACTGACATTTTCCTTGGGCAAAATCATGAAAAGCACATTACGTTGTATGACAGCATGATGGATATCACTTAGTGCTGGTACAAGGACTTCAGACTGGAACACAAAGAGGAACTCCGCTTGAGAAAATGAAGATGTTCCTAAATCATCTCATTTATGACAATAGGTAGTGAATTACCTCTGATAGTAGGATATAAAACATTCTGACGACAGAAAGACCTTGGAAATTATTTAATTATTTAATACCGTTCTCTAAGGGGATTACTTAACATAATTACCTAAGGTCCAGAGAGATGAAATGGCTTGCCCAAAGTCACATTTAGCTCACTTGATAAGATACAGAATATTCTCAACTCTAATTCCACTTCTCTTTTAATTATACCATCTTTCTGAACTGTAAGTACCAAGTGGATAAGGACTGGGCTTGTTGTTTGTCAGTATGTCCCTAGTACTATGACATCTTACACAGGAGCTGAATAACACACTGTTGTATGGATAAATGAATGATATGTCCTCATTATCCTTTTCTTTTTTTTGGTTTCCATCTACATTTCATAAACTGTACTATTGTGAGTTTAAGATAAATTCTGTTTCCAAATGTCTTTTTTATTAGAATTCAAACACCTTTTCCTAATGGCCTGGGGAAAATTTCTATTGATGATATTCTAATGGTATCAAAGTCTTGTAATTTGTCATGATTGGAAAATAGGTATTTATTCTCCAAATTCTAATTTACATATAAGAGGATGCTGGAGATAAGGAATGTTTCCATTAAAGCTGGCCAGAACCAAATCTTCATTAAGCAATTGGTCATCTTTACTAAGATGATGAGCACAATATTAATCAGTTACATAATGTAAATACAATCCCCTGTTGCCTGTGCTGTACCATAACCCCAAAACACTATGCCCACAATTCTAAACAGGTGCATGCAGCTCTCATGTTAATGAAGAGGACTAGAAAGATGCAATTGTCTGCCTTTCCAAATATTAGTGGTGAGAGAGGGGATCTCTAAATGCCAAGAGAGAAAGTTTTATAAGCATGTATTAATTTCTCAAGTAGACTTGCTGGGTTTTCCACAGGAGACATCAAAAAAACCATTATGGGAGCCAGGCATAGTGGGGCACCTATAATTCCAGCTACTCAGGAGGATATTTGATCCCTGGGATTAGAGGATGTAATATGCGATGACCATGCCTGTTAATGGCCACTGCACTCAAGTCTGGGTAACAGAGCGAGAACTTGTCTCAAAAAAAGAAAAAATCATTATGGAAAGTTCATCCAGAGTTCTGGAATTACTTTCACAACCTGACCCTGGCAAGTCAATAAAACGTTCCTTAAAGACATGCTGTCTTACTTTTTGGTTGTGGCACACTTTCTCCTTGAAACTTAATTAAAATAATAAAATATAGTGTTTTTGAGTTGGCTCTCCTTTTCAAATAAACTAATGGATAAACATAATTTTATTTTGTAGGTTGATTTTTAAAAAACTAGATGTCAAATAACACAATTTGGCAACTATATGTTATATATTAAATTTAGAGTATCAATCAATCAACTATTATCTTTTCTAGTGCTTTCTTAGAAGATATTAAAGAAGCAGAAGTCAAAAATTATACATGTTCCTTTTAATGAGTTAAAGACAGTATGAACTCTGTGGTTTCAGTAATCACATTGTTCTTTCATTCTGTCATCATTTATTTGTCAGACATTGTACAACCTCTAGGACTAAATTTTTGTCAGTGATTGAGTACATGTTGTGTTCTTTACACAAGTGTTTAAAACTGATACTACCTCAAGACAATACAAAACAATGTCTTAAAACACAAAGAACCCCATCAAAAAGTGGGCAAAGGATATGAACAGACACTTCTCAAAAGAAGACATTCATACAGCCAACAGACACATGAAAAAATGCTCATCATCACTTGCCATCAGAGAAATGCCAATCAAAACCACAATGAGATACCATCTCACACCAGTTAAAATGGTAATCATTAAAATATCAGGAAACAACAGGTGATGGAGAGGATGTGGAGAAATAGGAACACTTTTCACTGTTGGTGGGACTGTATACTAGTTCAACCATTGTGGAAAACAGTGTGGCGATTCTTCAAGGATCTAGAACTAGAAATACCATTTGACCCAGCTATCTCATTACTGGGGACATACCCAAAGGATTCTAAGTCATGCTGCTATAAAGACACATGCACACGTATGTTTATTGCAGCACTATTCACAATAGCAAAGACTTGGAATCCACCCAAATGTCTATCAGTGACAGACTGGATTAAGAAAATGTGGCACATACACACCATGGAATACTATGCAGCCATAAAAAAGGATGAGTTCGTGTCCTTTGTAGGGACATGGATGCAGCTGGAAACCATCATTCTCAGCAAACTATTGCAAGAACAGAAAACAAAA